AGTGTGGTTTTCAGGGGGTTAGGGTCTGAAACCAGAGCCCTGTACCACAGCTAGAGAGTGTGGCTTCAGGGGGTTAGGGTCTGAGACCAGAGCCCTGTACCACAGCTAGAGAGTGTGGTTTCAGGGGGTTAGGGTCTGAGACCAGAGCCCTGTACCACAGCTAGAGAGTGTGGTTTCAGGGGGTAGGGTCTGAGACCAGAGCCCTGTACCACAGCTAGAGAGTGTGGCTTCAAGGGGTTAGGGTCTGAGACCAGAGCCCTGTACCACAGCTAGAGAGTGTGGCTTCAGGGGGTTAGGGTCTGAGACCAGAGCCCTGTACCACAGCTAGAGAGTGTGGTTTCAGGGGGTTAGGGTCTGAGACCAGAGCCCTGTACCACAGCTAGAGAGTGTGGCTTCAGGGGGTTAGGGTCTGAGACCAGAGCCCTGTACCACAGCTAGAGAGTGTGGCTTCAGGGGGTTAGGGTCTGAGACCAGAGCCCTGTACCACAGCTAGAGAGTGTGGCTTCAAGGGGTTAGGGTCTGAGACCAGAGCCCTGTACCACAGCTAGAGAGTGTGGCTTCAGGGGGGTTAGGGTCTGAGACCAGAGCCCTGTACCACAGCTAGAGAGTGTGGCTTCAGGGGGTTAGGGTCTGAGACCAGAGCCCTGTACCACAGCTAGAGAGTGTGGCTTCAAGGGGTTAGGGTCTGAGACCAGAGCCCTGTACCACAGCTAGAGAGTGTGGCTTCAAGGGGTTAGGGTCTGAGACCAGAGCCCTGTACCACAGCTAGAGAGTGTGGCTTCAAGGGGTTAGGGTCTGAGACCAGAGCCCTGTACCACAGCTAGAGAGTGTGGCTTTAAGGGGTTAGGGTCTGAGACCAGAGCCCTGTACCACAGCTAGAGAGTGTGGCTTCAAGGGGTTAGGGTCTGAGACCAGAGCCCTGTACCACAGCTAGAGAGTGTGGCTTCAGGGGGTTAGGGTCTGAGACCAGAGCCCTGTACCACAGCTAGAGAGTGTGGCTTCAGGGGGTTAGGGTCTGAGACCAGAGCCCTGTACCACAGCTAGAGAGTGTGGCTTCAGGGGGTTAGGGTCTGAGACCAGAGCCCTGTACCACAGCTAGAGAGTGTGGCTTCAAGGGGTTAGGGTCTGAGACCAGAGCCCTGTACCACAGCTAGAGAGTGTGGCTTCAAGGGGTTAGGGTCTGAGACCAGAGCCCTGTACCACAGCTAGAGAGTGTGGCTTCAGGGGGTTAGGGTCTGAGACCAGAGCCCTGTACCACAGCTAGAGAGTGTGGCTTCAAGGGGTTAGGGTCTGAGACCAGAGCCCTGTACCACAGCTAGAGAGTGTGGCTTCAGGGGGTTAGGGTCTGAGACCAGAGCCCTGTACCACAGCTAGAGAGTGTGGCTTCAAGGGGTTAGGGTCTGAGACCAGAGCCCTGTACCACAGCTAGAGAGTGTGGCTTCAAGGGGTTAGGGTCTGAGACCAGAGCCCTGTACCACAGCTAGAGAGTGTGGCTTCAAGGGGTTAGGGTCTGAGACCAGAGCCCTGTACCACAGCTAGAGAGTGTGGCTTCAAGGGGTTAGGGTCTGAGACCAGAGCCCTGTACCATAGCTAGAGAGTGTGGCTTCAGGGGGTTAGGGTCTGAGACCAGAGCCCTGTACCACAGCTAGAGAGTGTGGCTTCAGGGGGTTAGGGTCTGAGACCAGAGCCCTGGACCACAGCTAGAGAGTGTGGCTTCAGGGGGTTAGGGTCTGAGACCAGAGCCCTGTACCACAGCTAGAGAGTGTGGCTTCAGGGGGTTAGGGTCTGAGACCAGAGCCCTGGACCACAGCTAGAGAGTGTGGCTTCAGGGGGCACAGAGGTGGGCGAAGACCCATCCACAGAAACACACGTCACACAAAAACATCTGCAAGCCACGCCCACTTCCGTTTTTAACGTAAACTTCCCCCACTTGCACTTTCTCGAATACGAACGAAATCTGGAACGCATATCTTCAGTGCGGACACGAACCAAAAGGCCTCCTGGAGGTGGAGGGTTCTTCCTGGGGATCCCCTCGACTCCCCTCGACTCCCCTTCAGCGGCTAGCGTCTCCAGACCTTACAAGTTATCACAATCTAAACTTTGTGTGTGTGTGTGTGTGTGTGTGTGTGTGTGTGTGTGTCAGCGATCCAGACGGCAGCGATGGAGATGTTGGGGGGGGAGGGCGTCTCTAAGCAGTGCCGCACGGTGGACATCATGGCCGACGCTGCGTACGCTGTCCTCTCTCGAGGGACCGACTTCACGGGGAACTTCCTGGTGGACGAAGACGTCCTGAGACAGCAGGGGGTCCAAGACTTTGAGCCGTACGCTGTGCAGCCAGGTGAGCTAACGAGCTAACAGAGCTAACAGAGCTAACACACTCATCAGCTGGTACTCATGCTGGCCTCTGATTGGTCCACAGGTCACCCCCTGCTGCCAGACTTCTTCCTGGACGACGCTCCTGAGACGCTGGTGGAGAAGATGGAGCAACACGGTGAACACATGTTATAACACGTTATTAAAGACATGTTATAATAAACATGTTATCCTTAAGAAGTCCATGTTTACTGTAAGTGTTAACCAGGTGTTATCTCCTGTTGCTAGGGGCGACCCCAGCCTTCAGACCCCCAACATCATCTGCCACGCCCCTCTCTGGAGGACCAATAGAAAACACCTTCGACGCCATCAAGGCGGTGATCAACGAAGACGTTATCAAGACGACGCAGGGCATCTACCAGTTCGACCTCTCAGGTAACCGTCATGTGTTCATGGTCTCAGGTAACCGTCATGTGTTCATGGTCTCAGGTAACCGTCATGTGTTCATGGTCTCAGGTAACCGTCATGTGTTCATGGTCTCAGGTAACCGTCATGTGTTCATGGTCTTGGGAGAACCGTCATGTGTTCATGGTCTCAGGTAACCGTCATGTGTTCATGGTCTCAGGTAACCGTCATGTGTTCATGGTCTCAGGTAACCGTCATGTGTTCATGGTCTTGGGAGAACCGTCATGTGTTCATGGTCTTGGGAGAACCGTCATGTGTTCATGGTCTTGGGAGAACCGTCATGTGTTCATGGTCTCAGGTAACCGTCATGTGTTCATGGTCTCAGGTAACCGTCATGTGTTCATGGTCTTGGGAGAACCGTCATGTGTTCATGGTCTTGGGAGAACCGTCATGTGTTCATGGTCTTGGGAGAACCGTCATGTGTTCATGGTCTTGGGAGTCGGGAGGCCTGTTCATTTATTCCGGCAAATGACTCGGACCTACTAATGGACCTAACAGAAGTTATTGAGTCTATGTAAGTTTACTGCTTGGCTCAGATCCACCAACGTCAGCAAGATCTCACCTCTACTAACTCCTGAAGAACCAGGTTCAATGAAGTGCTGTTTCAATTCAGACGACCCTCTAAATCTGTTGAAGCGATCCCGAAGGATTCTGATATCAGTAATGAGGTGTGGCCCTACCTAAGTGTGAGTGTGGCAGGGTGCGATCTTACCTTGAAGCAGGAGAGGAGAGCGCACATGTCTTTCAAGTTGTCCCAATCCAAAAGGTGGGATTTATTTGAAGAATGATTGGTCCACACTTGAACAGGGTTTTTACCTTCTCTCGTTACAACATGACAATCCTACTAAACATATCATGCTGTGGTCATGTTCTAATGTGAAACCTCAATTTCAACTTCAACTGCCCAATTCAGTTGTGACATTTAAAATCGTCCGACAGAATTTAGAGGCATCTCCTCATAAATGACCGGTGATAATAAAAAGCACATTCAAACTTTCATTCAACAAATCAATTCACGTACACATCTAGTCCCGCATGAATTCGGAGGACCTTCCTCACAGGTGGCAGGGTTATGATCTTCCAACAAAGAAATTCACTCAGCATTCCACAAAGAAATTCAAGCGATATTTACCAAGTTTGAGAGAACCTTACAGAGCAAAAACCCAGCTCCCCCCCCCCCCCCCCTCAAGAGAGAGAGAGTTTGCTCCCTCTCCGCCAGTGTCTTTATGCTCAAAACAGGACAGAGAAACCTAAAGACCCCTCCTCCATACACATGTTTGTGGAAACTGGGCCTCTGATGTGCAGGACTGGACATGACCAGACATATGCTATGGCATAAGAGACACCTTCCCATGTTTGTGTAAAAAGGTCATGACCCCTAGTTTGCAGGATTGGAAAATATTATTCTCGGCTATGACATAAACACCTTTTTGGGGCCTCAGCATTTCTCCAAAAAGTACTGGACATTGAGAAACGGCCACCGTCTCCCCTCTCTTATCAGTGACACCCATAAACCATAATAGGCCTTACACTCAACTTAACAAACCACTTGTGTTTTGTTTATACTGTAAATATAGAAAACCATAAAATATGAAGCATTTTCATTTTGGGTTATACAAGAATATAATGGATTATATTTGATTATAATTAACTTTCGTAAGTATTCAACCTAATATGGAGATCTCAACAATGAGGAGATGTGTTCATGTCTGTATGTCCTCATAAGGAGATGTCTTTATGTCCTCATAAGGAGATGTCTTTATGTCCTCATAAGGAGATGTCTTTATATCCTCATAAGGAGATGTCTTTATGTCCTCATAAGGAGATGTCTTTATGTCCTCATAAGGAGATATCTTTATGTCCTCATAAGGAGATATCTTTATGTCCTCATAAGGAGATGTCTTTATGTCCTCATAAGGAGATGTCTTTATGTCCTCATAAGGAGATGTCTTTATGTCCTCATAAGGAGATGTCTTTATGTCCTCATAAGGAGATATCTTTATGTCCTCATAAGGAGATGTCTTTATGTCCTCATAAGGAGATGTCTTTATATCCTCATAAGGAGATGTCTTTATGTCCTCATAAGGAGATGTCTTTATGGCCTCATAAGGAGATGTCTTTATGTCCTCATAAGGAGATGTTGTGTTTAAATGTTTATGTGTTTATATGTTTATAAGGTGAGAATGCGGGCGTCTGGTTCCTGGACCTGAAGAGCGGGTCCGGGGGGGCAGGACCTGGTCAGCCGCCCGTCAAAGCGGATGTCATCATGACGATGGACTCAGCCGACTTCACCAAGATGTTCGCAGGTATTCAGCCGACACACCTGTAGACTAATGCTGTTACAGTATGATGCTAACTTTAGCTGTTAGCCGCTAACTGCTACAGTATGATGCTAACTTTAGCTATTATCCACTAACTGCTACAATATGATGCTAACTTTAGCTGTTAGCCGCTAACCGCTACAGTATGATGCTAACTTTAGCTGTTAGCCGCTAACCGATACAGTATGATGTTAACTTTAGCTGTTAGCAGCTAACCGCTACAGTATGATGTTAGCTGTTAGCAGCTAACCGCTACAGTATGATGTTAACTTTAGCTGTTAGCAGCTAACCGCTACAGTATGATGCGTTCAGGCCCTCTCTGTACAAACGGTAACTCTGTGTTCTGCAGGGCAGCTGAAGCCCACCATGGCCTTCATGGGGGGGAAACTGAGGATCAAAGGAGACATGGCGCTCGCTCTGAAGCTGGAGAAGCTGATGGGGAGGATGAACAAGGCCAAGCTGTGAGGAAACGAGGAGACAAGAGGAGGAGACGTGTTCAAAAAAGTTTAATAAAGTTTTAATAACGTTTCACACTGAGATCTCCAGGAACTCACACTCAGTGATTAAAGATGGTGGTCAAGTGATCTGATCAGGAAGTGTTTCTGGTCAGGTGATCTGATCAGGAAGTGTTGTTATGTGAATAATAAAACCTGCGTTATTAAACCGGCGTCTGATTGTTATTATTAATATCTGTTAGAAATGAATAAAGTTTGTCATTAATTACTCCATAAACTGTTTAATGTGTTCCTCACGATTTCATTACAACGTGAGGAACACCAGGACATGTCACATTTTAATGGGTTAATAGAGTGGCGAAGTCCCTCCCCTTCCGGTGGACCTCCAAGGGACCTTATTTCGGAAAAATTATGTATTGAAGTCAATGGAGAGAGAAAGATTATCTTTCGATCCCGTTTGAATTGTGCCATGAATTACACATATGTTGTTTGTCAATTTAAAAGATAATTTTGCAAGTCAAAAAAAAAAAATGTGTGGTAAAACTGTGAAGTAACACATTTGTTTGTGTGAAACGCTCAAAGAACTACATCTGATCTCTGGTCAACAACACACGTCACCAAGATGGCCGTCACTACTGTCTTGTCAACACAAGAGACTACCCTCACTATCACTACAATGAAACACGTCCTGAAGAATGTCATGCAAAGCTGCCTGCCTTCCTTCCTTTGATTCTCTCTGAACTGCCTGGTCGTTTTAATGTTTAATGTCAACCATTTGTGCAGATAGCATGAAGTAGAGAAGATCGCTAGCGTTAGCGTTAGCATTTCTCCCCCGGGCTTAAATTGTGTATTATAGAATGATCACACCGGTGACAGTACTATTCAAAGGGTTCACGAAATATGACTACTACTCTTACTGTTTAACATTTTGGGTTACTTAATGTTACTTCATGTTAAGGCTAATAAAATGACAAGGCTGTAATGCTAACTAACGTGCTAGCTACTAGCTAGGTAGCTAACTTGATCCACACACTCCTCTTTCATCAGACGGGAAGCGAAAGAACGAGCAAGACCCATTGCTGGTATAATAACAACCTGGTACTAAGCACACAGGCACAAAGTTATCTTATCTTAGCCAGCGCCATATAGATAGATTCTATCTATATGGCGCTGATCGTATATATACGGTATTATACGTGTATCGTAGTGTCTCAATTGTGACATCACTTACGCGACTCTGGGATTTGTAGTCTTTCTAGTTTCGTATTTTTCAAAGTCTTATATTTCAACAGTTTTAAGACAAACTGTGACTTTTTTGACATGGAAATGATTTTTTAAGATTGACAAACATATGTGTAATTCATGGCACAATTCAAACAGGATCGAAAGATAAGTTTTCTCTCCCCATTGACTTCAATGCATAACTTTTCCGGAATAAGGTCCCATACCCCGGAAGTAAGTGGGAGGGACTTCGCCACTCTATAAAGGGGACTTGTGTGAAGCCACCTCGGTATTAACCGGATACTGATTCGGACTTCCTGTCCACCTTCAAAATAAAAGTTTGTTTTTGTGATGAAACTCTTTAAACTCCTCGAGACTTTCAGCTCTTCTTTATTGAATCACTTTCCCGTGTTATTTGTACAGGTGTGTTGTTTACACTGTTGTTTACACAGGTGTGTTGTTTACACAGGTGTGTTGTTTGTACAGGTGTAAAACATTGAGTCTAAACCAGAGTCACGCGATTGGACGGTTGGCCTCCATGGTAACGGAACTGTTTGCGGAAGTGCAGCTCTCCGTTTGCAGCCGGAGATTAAAGGTGAGTTTCCTCCTTAATATCACCTGTATTTATAACAACAACAGCACGATATTAGGAGTGATAAGAACAACACGATTGTAGGAGCCATATGTTCAAATGTATAGTTTGATATATTTGAATATTATAATCCTTTGTTATTTTATCGTTTATTTGGACCTGCCGTCGTGAAGTGACGTCACAGCCTACGGCAGCTGTTCTGTAATCAGGAGACGGGGACACCTTATAGAGGAGACCTCATAGAGGACAGCTGTTCTGTAATCAGGAGACGGGGACACCTTATAGAGGAGACCTCATAGAGGACAGCTGTTCTGTAATCAGGAGACGGGGACACCTTATAGAGGAGACCTCATAGAGGACAGCTGTTCTGTAATCAGGAGACGGGGACACCTTATAAAGGAGACCTCATAGAGGACAGCTGTTCTGTAATCAGGAGACGGGGACACCTTATAAAGGAGACCTCATAGAGGACAGCTGTTCTGTAATCAGGAGACGGGGACACCTTATAGAGGAGACCTCATAGAGGACAGCTGTTCTGTAATCAGGAGACGGGGGACACCTTATAGAGGAGACCTCATAGAGGACAGCTGTTCTGTAATCAGGAGACGGGGGACACCTTATAGACCAGTGGTTCTCAACTGGTCAGGCCTCGGGACCCAGTTTTTCCTTTGTCAATAAATCGCGACCCGAAATGTTGAAACACTCAAATCTATTCAACAAAAAATCGTGCTGTAATATACAGACACTTTTCAGCAAACATTATTAAAGTGAAGTACAGTGCATACATCCCTTCATAGAGGAGACCTCATAGAGGAGACGTCATAGAGGAGACCTCATAGAGGAGACCTCATAGAGGAGACATCATAGAGGAGACCTCATAGAGGAGACGTCATAGAGGAGACGTCATAGAGGAGACCTCATAGAGGAGACGTCATAGAGGAGACGTCATAGAGGAGACGTCATAGAGGACAGCTGTTCTGTAATTAGGAGACGGAGGAGACGTTATAGAGGTCTGTCAGCTTCTCTAGAGACTATTGTTATTATTATAATAACAATCATAATAATATGTTTAATAACAATAATAATAATTATAATAATAGTAATGTATAATAATATTAACAACAGTAATAATAAACAATAATGATAATAGTAATGTATAATATTGATAATGATAACAATAATAATAATAATCATAATAACAATAATAATTAAAGCTGCAAGCAGCGTTGAGCGGGTCTTCGACGCTCCGCAGGCTGTTGTCCGCACGTCGAGGTGCGTGTGTAGGTGTCTCGAGGACTCGGCCGTTGGCAAACGTGGGAAGTTTCAGGCCGATCGGACAACGTACATGGGAGTTACAGCAGTATCATAAACATTGTGTTTGATGGCGAGTGATCAGTCGCCATGGCAACGGAATTTGATGACACCCCATAATACGCCTAGATGTGTTGAGGGCTGCATCGTTATCAAACCTGTGACGTTTTGGGCCGTTTGGAGCATGTTAACTGGAGTTATGAGAAAACCGTGTTTCACGGCGACCATGTTGTTACCATAGCAACGACATTTGACGAAATCTCAAAACTGACACATATATGTGTGTCGAGGGCTTGACGGTTAGCACACATGGGAAATGTGAACACTTTTTACCATTTACACAGGAGTTATAGCAATATCGTGCTTAACGGCGAGGGATGCGTTGCCATGGCAACAGCTTTTGAGGAAAACTCACTATTGTCATATTGATGTGTTGAGGGCCGGACCATTAACTGTCATCTGAAGTCTGGTGCAGTTTGGACCATTTTCCATCGAGTTATGACAACATTGTGTTTCATGGCGAAGGATCTGTCACCATGGCAACGGCATATGATGACATCCCATAATTGGCGTAGAGCTGTTCAGGGCTAGGGTTAAGGACAAAGGAGCCTCATTCACTTTACATTGGGGTTGTTTGCGTGGTGCAGACACGTAAATGTAGCAAAGTTCGTGACTCCACCATGCACTGCGGTGTTAAGGAGTCGTGGTGGAGTCACGCATTCTGGTGAGACCAGGTTGGTCTTGCCACATGGCCTTCCCTTGCATAATCTCAAATATTTTGTATTTGTATTTAAGCTACCAACGTGTAACAGAACCATGTCATGTTTGTTGTTCTCTGACACAAAACATCATGTTGAATCAGTCAATAACAAGATCATTGCCATTGGCATGATGACTTCTGGTTTGGAACACAAAGTTCTGTAAGTAAGTTTCACTTCTTTCGGCTGCTAAACCTTAACTTGTTTTTCACTTATCATCTTGTGTAATCTTTATCTTGTGTTATTTCAAGCTTTTAATTCAGATTGACATGTATGGTATGGGTGTTAGTGTCCCAACAATTCTGTATCTTGTGTAAGTGTATCTGATTATTGCAACACAGCAGCTGCAAGAGAACTATCGATTTTTAGCCGTGTGATTCCATGGATTGTTTATTTTGTTATAACAAAGGTCAAATGTTTCTCAGCAGAAAGTTAACCATCCAGTTCAGCAGTTGATATGGGAGCACCAAAAACTGAAGTTCAGGAAAGAGCCAACGCAAAATACTTCTCCGCTCATGTCTTCTGCTTTAATTCCCCACAGCTTCCAATAAATAGTTTAAAAAGTTGTTTAGAATGAGTTTGATACTTTAAACCAAAGTGTTAATGACTGAAAACCCTGGTTAACATTCAGTCATGTGATTTTTTTTTAAAAACAAACAGTTATCAGAATCAGAATCAGAATATAATTATCATACCAGTATATGCACTTGGCTACCAAAACATGAATAGAGTGTGGTTAAAGTATGTGTGTGATGTCATGTCAATAACAACAGAGTGAAAAGGGTCAGGGTTGGGACAAATGTAATTTCCCCTTGTGGATTTATAAAGTATTTCTTAAATCTTTAGTCTTAATCCTAAACAATTGAAAACTCTTAGCTAAGGAAAGGTAGGGAAAGCTTGTGTTCAAATATTCAAAAAGGTCAAGGAGAAAAATGAGCCATCACAATACTGCAGATAGCTGCATGTCCAAAGAAAGTTGCCATTGAACAAAAAGTATATAAATAATTAAATTACGATGGTTTGTGTAGTTATAGTACTCAGATCCTTGACTTACTGTGATTAAAAGTATCAAACATCAATGCAAAGATACTTTTTTTAATGAGTAATATGAGCAATTATTTCCTGTGTTCAAAATCCTACTTAAGTAAAAGTACAGGATTCTTCATAAAGTATCATATGCTGTCTTGTACCTTGGTGGTACTACAGAATATGTGTTGTGTTTCTACTTGAATCTCTTTTTATATCCAAATCTTCTATGTACATAAATGTTTTTTTCTGTCTTTGTGAAGAAGTTTGGTCCAAAACCTGTTTGTTTTTGTGTGCTCTATGCAAACATAAAAAGGGGAAACTAACATCACCCTTTTCAAAGTTAGATCTAAACATCAGAGCTAGAGATGCTATGAGATACAAGACCACAGAGATGTGATTAGCTATGATATTGTGATACAATCATGGCGCATCTGCCCCTGAGGTGTGAAAGCATTTAAAGACAATGGTGACCTGATACAGTATCTACTACAGCTGTCGAATGTGTTTGAATGGACTTCTAAGAACTCAGTTTGATTATTTTTGATTATTAACTTCTAGATGATGACCACAGTGTTATCCAATCTTGTTTATAGTGCTTTATTGAACAGGGAATGGGGGCCAAGATTGTATCAAGAGACTTTAAGCCCCCTCACTGTCCCTGTTGATCCAAAGTGGCGGGACTGCAGGGCCCATTATCTAACAAACATGATAAGCTCCACTGTGCTGATTGGTTGGGATATTTCATTTCATTTTTATTTGTCCCGCTCATGGTACGCATAGCCAAATGTACAATAATTGCCAACAAAACATGTCTCTACACACCATTGAGCGAAAAGGAGCAGGGAGAAGAATAAAATCTTATATGACCTGCCCCTTTCTAAAAAAAACAAAAATATAAATACAAATAGATGGTCTGCCCTTCATAATAAAAAAAAATGTTCACAGCCACACATAAGAGTACACCCTCATCTGAGTCCTACTGGAGAAGAAGGTGGAAAGCGGCGCCTAATAATAATAATAATAATAATAATAACAATAACAATAACAATAACAATTAAAGCTGCAAGCAGCGTTGAGCGGGTCGTGCTGTCCGCACGTCGACGTGTGTGTCTAGGTGTCTCAAGGACTCGGCCGTTGGCAAACGTGGGAAGTTTCAGGCCGATCAGACAACGTACATGGGAGTTACAGCAGTATCATAAACATTGTGTTTGATGGCGAGTGATCTATCGCCATGGCAACGGAATTTGATGACACCCCATAATACGCCTAGATGTGTTGAGGGCTGCATCGTTATCAAACCTGTGAAGTTTTGGGCCGTTTGGAGCATGTTAACTGGAGTTATGAGAAAACCGTGTTTCACGGCGACCATTTTGTTACCATAGCAACGACATTTGACGAAATCTCAAAACTGACACATATATGTGTCGAGGGCTTGACGGTTAGCACACATGGGACATTTGAACACTTTTTTACCATTTGCACAGGAGTTATAGCAATATCGTGCTTAACGGCGAGGGATGCGTTGCCATGGCAACAGCTTTTGAGGAAAACTCACTATTGTCATATTGAGGTGTTGAGGGCCGGACCATTAACTGTCATCTGAAGTCTGGTGCAGTTTGGACCATTTTCCATCGAGTTATGACAACACTGTGTTTCATGGCGAGGGATCTGTCACCATGGCAACGGCATATGATGACATCCCATAATTGGCGTAGAGCTGTTCAGGGCCGGACCATTAGTCATCATCTGAAGTCTGGTGCCGGTGATATAAAAGTGAAGATTGAGGGACGATGGGACCGTGTCCATTGGAGTTACAGCGACACCATGTTTTATGGTGAGGGATGCGTTGCCATGGAAACGGCATATGATGACATCCCATAATTGGCGTAGAGCTGTTGAGGGCCGGACCATTAGCCATCATCTGAAGTGTGGTGCAGTTTGGACCATTTTCCATTGACTTAAGACAACATTGTGTTTTATGGCGAGGGATGCGTTGCCATGGAAACGGCATACGGTGAGATCTCAGATTTCACGTAGAGCTGTTGAGGCATGGACCGGTGATATAAAAGTGAAGATTGGGGGACGATGGGACCGTGTCCATTGGAGTTACAGCGACACCGTGTTTTATGGCGATTCGTTGCCATGGTAACGCCATATTAAGTAACATCAAATTTGACGTAGAGCTGTTCAGGGCCGCAGTGTTGACCATCATGTGAAGTTTGGTGGCGTTCTGAGTATGTCAGTTGGCGTTATGACATCATCGTGTTCCATGGCGAGGGATGGCCGAGCATCGAGCGAACGCGAACTTTGGCGCCAAATCACGGCTACGCCGTGCGAAAGAAAAAGACTTCCGTGATAGCTTTGAATTGCCCATGTCTCGAGACGCTACCCGACGAATTTCGAGTCGTACGGATAAAGTCCCTGGGAGAAGATAGATTTCGTGCGGAGGACGAAAAACGCGATAAATCGCGTTTTTCCGACGCCAAATTCAAAATGGCCGGCTTCCTGTACGTTATTTTATACCCCTCCAAGAGGCTTTTTGGTTTGTCTCCGCACCCTAGATATGTGTAGCGAGTTTCGTTCGTTTACGTGAAAGTTAAAGTGGGGGGAGTTTACGTTAAAAACGGAAGTGGGCGTAGCCTACGCAATTTTTGACGCAAAGTTCCGGAACCAATTACACATCTGAAGTTGCACCACTTCTGACGCGCGTGCAACATTTAGTGAGTTTTCACATATGTTGCGGGGGTCAAAGGTTTATTGGTCGCTGCGCGACCGATTTCAATAAGGTCTTCGCCGACCTAGGTCTCAGACCCTAATAAACAATAGTAATGATAATAGTCATGTATAATAATAATAATAACAATAGTAATTAAAGCTGCAAGCAGCGTTGAGCGGGTCTTCGACGCTCCGCAGGCTGTTGTCCGCACGTCGAGGTGTGTGTGTAGGTGTCTCGAGCTGTTGAGGGCCGGACCATTAACTGTCATCTGAAGTCTGGTGCCGTTTGGAAGCTTTTCCATTGAATTAAGACAACATCGTGTTTTATGGCGAGTGATGCGTTGCCATGGAAACGGCATACGGTGAGATCTCAGATTTCACCTAGAGCTGTTGAGGGCCGGACCATTAACTGTCATCTGAAGTCTGGTGCAGTTTGGACCATTTTCCATCGAGTTATGACAACACTGTGTTTCATGGCGAGGGATCTGTCACCATGGCAACGGCATATGATGACATCCCATAATTGGCGTAGAGCTGTTCAGGGCCGGACCATTAGTCATCATCTGAAGTCTGGTGCCGGTGATATAAAAGTGAAGATTGAGGGACGATGGGACCGTGTCCATTGGAGTTACAGCGATACCATGTTTTATGGTGAGGGATGCGTTGCCATGGAAACGGCATATGATGACATCCCATAATTGGCGTAGAGCTGTTGAGGGCCGGACCATTAGCCATCATCTGAAGTGTGGTGCAGTTTGGACCATTTTCCATTGACTTAAGACAACATTGTGTTTTATGGCGAGGGATGCGTTGCCATGGAAACGGCATACGGTGAGATCTCAGATTTCACGTAGAGCTGTTGAGGCATGGACCGGTGATATAAAAGTGAAGATTGGGGGACGATGGGACCGTGTCCATTGGAGTTACAGCGACACCGTGTTTTATGGCGATTCGTTGCCATGGTAACGCCATATTAAGTAACATCAAATTTGACGTAGAGCTGTTCAGGGCCGCAGTGTTGACCATCATGTGAAGTTTGGTGGCGTTCTGAGTATGTCAGTTGGCGTTATGACATCATCGTGTTCCATGGCGAGGGATGGCCGAGCATCGAGGCGAACGCGAACTTTGGCGCCAAATCACGGCTACGCCGTGCGAAAGAAAAAGACTTCCGTGATAGCTTTGAATTGCCCATGTCTCGAGACGCTACCCGACGAATTTCGAGTCGTACGGATAAAGTCCCTGGGAGAAGATAGATTTCGTGCGGAGGACGAAAAACGCGATAAATCGCGTTTTTCCGACGCCAAATTCAAAATGGCCGGCTTCCTGTACGTTATTTTATACCCCTCCAAGAGGCTTTTTGGTTTGTCTCCGCACCCTAGATATGTGTAGCGAGTTTCGTTCGTTTACGTGAAAGTTAAAGTGGGGGGAGTTTACGTTAAAAACGGAAGTGGGCGTAGCCTACGCAATTTTTGACGCAAAGTTCCGGAACCAATTACACATCTGAAGTTGCACCACTTCTGACGCGCGTGCAACATTTAGTGAGTTTTCACATATGTTGCGGGGGTCAAAGGTTTATTGGTCGCTGCGCGACCGATTTCAATAAGGTCTTCGCCGACCTAGGTCTCAGACCCTAATAAACAATAGTAATGATAATAGTCATGTATAATAATAATAATAACAATAGTAATTAAAGCTGCAAGCAGCGTTGAGCGGGTCTTCGACGCTCCGCAGGCTGTTGTCCGCACGTCGAGGTGTGTGTGTAGGTGTCTCGAGCTGTTGAGGGCCGGACCATTAACTGTCATCTGAAGTCTGGTGCCGTTTGGAAGCTTTTCCATTGAATTAAGACAACATCGTGTTTTATGGCGAGTGATGCGTTGCCATGGAAACGGCATACGGTGAGATCTCAGATTTCACCTAGAGCTGTTGAGGGCCGGACCATTAACTGTCATCTGAAGTCTGGTGCAGTTTGGAAGCTTTTCCATTGAATTAAGACAACATCGTGTTTTATGGCGAGGAATGCGTTGCCATGGAAACGGCATATGATGACATCCCAGAATTGGCGTAGAGCTGTTGAGGGCTGGACCATTAACTGTCATCTGAAGTCTGGTGCAGTTTGGACCATTTCCCATTGACTTAAGACAACATCGTGTTTTTTGGTGAGGGATGCGTTGCCATGGAAACGGCATACGATGAGATCTCAGATTTCACGTAGAGCTGTTGAGGGCCGGACCATTAACTGTCATCTGAAGTGTGGTGCAGTTTGGAAGCTTTTCCATTGGAGTTAGAGCGACACTGTGTTTTATGGCGAGGGATTCGTTGCCATAGTAACACCATATTAAGTAACATCACATTTGACGTAGAGCTGTTCAGGGCCGCAGTGTTAACCATCACGTGAAGTTTGGTGGCGTTCTGAGTATGTCAGTTTGAGTTATGACATCATCGTATTCCATGGCGTTTGATGGGCCTAGCATCGAGCGAACGCGAACTTTGGCGCCAAATAACGGCTGCGCCGTGCGAAAGAAAAAAAGTTCCGTGATAACTTTTAATTGCCCATGTCTCGAGATGCTACCCGACGAATTTCGAGTCGTACGGATAAAGTCCCTGGGAGAAGATAGATTTTGCACGGAGGACGAAAAACGCGATAAATTGCGTTTTTTGACGCCTTTTTCGACGCCAAATTCAAAATGGCCGACTTCCTGTACGTTATTTTATACCCCTCCAAGAGGCTTTTTTGTTTGTCTCCGCACCTTAGATATGCTTAGCGAGTTTCGTTCGGTTACGTGAAAGTTAAAGTAGGGGGAGTTAACGTTAAAAACGGAAGTGGGCGTGGCCTACGCAATTTTTTACGTAATATTCCGGAACCAATTAAATATCAAAATTTTGCGCACTTCTGACGCGTGTGCGAAATTTGGTGAGTTTTCACATATGTGGCGGGGGTCAAAAGTGCGCGCGATGTTCTAAAATAATAATCAGAATAATAAATAATCTGACCAATATCAATAATGTGCTCGTTTACCGTCACTGTAGGCCGTTGTGCTACCTACTGTCATGATTTAGGCCACTTTTAATGGGCTTTTACCCGTCTTTTTCCCTGTTTTTAGTAGGTTTTGCATGGTTATCGCTCGCTTTGCGAGCGACTAAATTGATCGTAACGATATTAATTATGCGAGTTGCAATCACGTGGGCGAAGCCCACGTGACTGGGCTCGCGCGGACTATCTGCCGTCACTATTTCCGAACCTTTTCTGTGCTTTTGCCGGTCGTTTTCCCTGTTTTTGGGTGTTTTTTGCAGGTTTATCGGTCGCTGCGCGACCGATTTCAATAGGGTCTTCGCCGACCTATGGTCTCAGACCCTAATAAACAATAGTAATGATAATAGTCATGTATAATAATAATAAAGATATGAATGCTAACGGCCCTCAGGATGGCGGGTACGAGCAGGCACGACCGGGCAATGTCTCTGAAGGCGCAGCAGGAGCTGAAGGAGTGCAAGGACCCGGTGGAGAGGCTCCGTCTGCACTGCCTGTCCCGAGGCTCGTCTGGGATCAAAGGGCTGGGCCGGTGAGACTCTGTTTCATATATCACAACTTTAACACTGTTTAATATATCACGATATATTACAACTTTAACACTGTTTAGTATATCACGATATATATCACCACTTTAACACTTAACATTAACACTATATAATATATCATGATATATCATGACTTTAACACTAAATAATATATCATGACTTTAACACTGTATAATATATCATGACTTTAACACTGTATAATATATCACAACACTATATAATATATCATGATATATCATGACTTTAACACTATATAATATATATAATAAACACTGTATAATATTTCATGACTTTAACACTGTATAATATATCATGACTTTAATACTGTATAATATATCATGACATTAACACTAAATAATATATCATGACTTTAACACTGTATAATATATCACAACACTATATAATATATCATGACTTTAACACTATATAATATATATAATAAACACTGTATAATATTTCATAACTTTAACACTATATAATATATCATGACTTTAACACTGTATAATATATCATGACTTTAACACTGTATAATATATCATGACTTTAACACTGTATAATATATCATGACATTAACATTATATAATATATCATGACATTAACACTAATATATCATGACTATAACACTGTATAATATATCATGACTTTAACACTGTATAATATATCATGACTTTAACACTGTATAATATATCATGACTTTAACACTGTATAATATATCATGACATTAACATTATATAATATATCATGACATTGACACTAATATATCATGACTTTAACACTATATAATATATCATGACATTAACACTAATATATCATGACTTTAACACTGTATAATATATCATGACTTTAACACTGTATAATATATCATGACATTAACACTGTATAATATATCATGACTTTAACACTATATAATATATCATGACTTTAACACTGTATAATATATCATGATAGGGGTGCATACCGGTTCCCGGTATTACCGAAATACCGGTTACTGGCGGCTACGGTATACCGTACCGAAATCAGATCCGGTTTTCGATACTTTTTTAAATTTTTATAAAAGTGAGGCGTAATATCCTTAAACTCGCGCCCAAACCGTCAGAATTACGATGTCAATTTCGCCGTGAAACTCCGCAAATGAGTCACTTTAGAAAATCTAAAGTGTGGCTGCATATGACTGCCAGTCTGAATGGTGAGGTCTGTAACCACTGCCAGTCTGAATGGTGGGGTCTGTAACCACTGCCAGTCTGAATGGTGAGGTCTGTAACCACTGCAAGAAGTTTATTTCTGGGAAAGGTGGCAACACATCCAACCTCCAACCAATGCTGTCTCGTATGGCAACCAAGTACCTTTGTGTTCAGGGAAGCAGCGTGCCAAGCGAGAGAGTGTTCAGTTTAGCAGGTGAGACCCTACGCTGTGAAAGGGCCCGTTTGGATCCAGAGAGCAGATATGCTCATCTTCTTGAAGATGAATGCACAAAACTGAACTGTGATGGGATTTGTTTTCTTTCATCAGGCAAATGTTGATTTTAATGAAGCTATTTGTTTTATGTGCAATGCCGAGATCTCATGATCCTTTATGTGTTCTCTGGTCAGTCGAATCTCAGGTTGAATATTGATTATACTGGTGCTATTTCTTTTTTCCATTGACAAGATGTACTATTCACGCCTGATGGTTGATATAAATGATATTGCAGAATCTGTTTTCTTCATAGATAACGTGTTTTTCATTGTTTGTTCAGTACTAAAAGGTCCAAGTCCCACAATTGAATTTAATATTAATTTGACATCATTTATATCATCAAGCGCTTCATGGGAGTAATTGCAGGATGATTCAATTTTTCCCTTATGCAACATGAAAGTATCACGATATGTATCGGTATCGTTCAGTGGTATCGGTATCGTAAAAAAGTCAACGATATGCAACCCTATATCATGACTTTAACACTATATAATATATCATGACTTTAACACTGTATGATATATCATGACATTAACACTATATAATATATCAAGACATAAACACTGTATAATATATCATGACTTTAACCCTATATAATATATCATGACTTTAACACTGTATAATATATCATGACTTAAACACTGTATAATATATCATGACTTTAACGCTGAAAAAAGGAGACAGGTAAATTATCTAAGCTTCATGCGTGGCGTTTCACTGTCAAGGGGGGCGATATAGCGTGTATGTAATTACATTGCAAATACTGACTTGAGCCCCACCACTGTATGGGTTAGCCCTACCATATATTACCCAACAAAAATACTCTGGAGCCACCACTGTGTATAATATATCATGATATATCATGACTTTAACACTATATAATATATATAATATATCATGACTTTAACACTATATAATATATAATGACTTTAACACTATATAATATATATTATATATCATGACTTTAACAATATTTAATTTATCCTGACTTTAACACTATATAATATACCCTGACACTAACACTATATTATATATCATGACTTTAACACTATATAATATATCATGACTTAAACACTATATAATAAATCGTGATATATCATGACTTTAACACTATATAATATATCATGATATATCATGACTTTAACACTATTTAATATATCATGACACTAACACTATTTAATATATCATGACTTTAACACTATATAATATATCATGACTTAAACACTATATAATAAATCGTGATATATCATGACTTTAACACTATATAATATATCATGATATATCATGACTTTAACATTATTTAATATATCATGACACTAACACTATTTAATATATCATGACTTTAACACTATATAATATATCATGACTTAAACACTATATAATAAATCGTGATATATCATGACTTTAACACTATATAATATATCATGACTTTAACACTATATAATAAATCATGATATATCATGACTTTAACACTATAAAATAAATCATGATATATCATGACTTTAACACTATATAATAAATCATGACTTTAACACTATAAAATAAATCGTGATATATCATGACTTTAACACTATAAAATAAATCGTGATATATCATGACTTTAACACTATATAATATATCATGACTTTAACACTATATAATAAATCATGATATATCATGACTTTAACACTATAAAATAAATCATGATATATCATGACTTTAACACTATATAATAAATCATGACTTTAACACTATAAAATAAATCGTGATATATCATGACTTTAACACTATAAAATAAATCGTGATATATCATGACTTTAACACTATATAATAAATCGTGATATATCATGACTTTAACACTATATAATATATCATGACTTTAACACTATAAAATAAATCGTGATATATCATGACTTTAACACTATATAATAAATCGTGATATATCATGACTTTAACACTATATAATATATCATGACTTTAACACTATAAAATAAATCATGATATATCATGACTTTAACACTATACTATAGGATACCTTATTTTTTGACTTTTCTATATATCACATAATGACTAAATAAAGTAATAGTATGTTGTATGGCACTGTGTTCTCGTCCTGCAGTATTTCTGTAGTTCTATAAGGTGATTTGTAGTTCAGGTGATATGTAGTTCTATACAGTGATATGTAGTTCTATACGGTGATATGTAGTTCTATACGGTGATATGTAGTTCTATACGGTGATTTGTAGTTCTATAAGGTGATATGTAGTTCTATACGGTGATATGTAGTTCTATACGGTGATATGTAGTTCTATACGGTGATATGTAGTTCTATACGGTGATTTGTAGTTCTATAAGGTGATATGTAGTTCTATACAGTGATATGTAGTTCTATACAGTGATATGTAGTTCTATACAGTGATATGTAGTTCTATACAGTGATATGTAGTTCTATAAGGTGATATGTAGTTCTATACGGTGATATGTAGTTCTATACGGTGATATGTAGTTCTATACGGTGATATGTAGTTCTATACGGTGATATGTAGTTCTATAAGGTGATATGTAGTTCTATACGGTGATATGTAGTTCTATACGGTGATATGTAGTTCTATACGGTGATATGTAGTTCTATACGGTGATATGTAGTTCTATACGGTGATATGTAGTTCTATACGGTGATATGTAGTTCTATACGGTGATATGTAGTTCTATACAGTGATATGTAGTTCAGGTGATATGTAGTTCTATACAGTGATATGTAGTTCTATACGGTGATATGTAGTTCTATACGGTGATATGTAGTTCTATACGGTGATATGTAGTTCTATACGGTGATATGTAGTTCTATACGGTGATATGTAGTTCAGGTGATATGTAGTTCTATACGGTGATATGTAGTTCTATACGGTGATATGTAGTTCTATACGGTGATATGTAGTTCTATACGGTGATATGTAGTTCTATTACGGTTGATGTAGTTCTATACGGTGATATGTAGTTCTATACAGTGATATGTAGTTCAGGTGATATGTAGTTCTATACAGTGATATGTAGTTCTATACGGTTGATATGTAGTTCTATACGGTGATATGTAGTTCTATACGGTGATATGTAGTATCTATACGGTGATATGTAGTTCTATACGGTGATATGTAGTTCAGGTGATATGTAGTTCTATACGGTGATATGTAGTTCTATACGGTGATATGTAGTTCTATACGGTGATATGTAGTTCTATACGGTGATATGTAGTTCTATACGGTGAAGTTCTATACGGTGATATGTAGTTCTATACAGTGATATGTAGTTCTATACAGTGATTTGTAGTTCTATAAGGTGATATGTAGTTCTATACAGTGATTTGTAGTTCTATACAGTGATATGTAGTTCTATACGGTGATATGTAGTTCTATACAGTGATATGTAGTTCTATACAGTGATATGTAGTTCTATACGGTGATATGTAGTTCTATACGGTGATATGTAGTTCTATACAGTGATATGTAGTTCTATACAGTGATATGTAGTTCTATACAGTGATATGTAGTTCTATAAGGTGATATGTAGTTCTATACGGTGATATGTAGTTCTATACGGTGATATGTAGTTCTATACGGTGATATGTAGTTCTATACGGTGATATGTAGTTCTATACAGTGATATGTAGTTCTATACAGTGATATGTAGTTCTATAAGGTGATTTGTAGTTCTATACGGTGATTTGTAGTTCTATAAGGTGATATGTAGTTCTATACGGTGATATGTAGTTCTATACGGTGATTTGTAGTTCTATAAGGTGATATGTAGTTCTATACGGTGATATGTAGTTCTATACGGTGATTTGTAGTTCTATAAGGTGATATGTAGTTCTATACGGTGATTTGTAGTTCTATAAGGTGATATGTAGTCATACGGTTGATTTGTAGTTCTATAAGGTGATATGTAGTTCTATAAGGTGATATGTAGTTCTATACGGTGATTTGTAGTTCTATACGGTGATTTGTAGTTCTATAAGGTGATATGTAGTTCTATACGGTGATATGTAGTTCTATACGGTGATTTGTAGTTCTATAAGGTGATATGTAGTTCTATACGGTGATTTGTAGTTCTATACGGTGATTTGTAGTTCTATAAGGTGATATGTAGTTCTATACAGTGATATGTAGTTCTATAAGGTGATATGTAGTTCTATAAGGTGATTTGTAGTTCTATACGGTGATTTGTAGTTCTATACGGTGATTTGTAGTTCTATACGGTGATATGTAGTTCTATACGGTGATATGTAGTTCTATACGGTGATATGTAGTTCTATACGGTGATATGTAGTTCTATAAGGTGATATGTAGTTCTATACGGTGATTTGTAGTTCTATACGGTGATTTGTAGTTCTATACGGTGATATGTAGTTCTATACGGTGATATGTAGTTCTATAAGGTGATATGTAGTTCTATACAGTGATATGTAGTTCAGGTGATATGTAGTTCTATAAGGTGATATGTAGTTCTATACAGTGATATGTAGTTCTATACAGTGATATGTAGTTCTATACAGTGATATGTAGTTCTATACAGTGATATGTAGTTCTATACAGTGATATGTAGTTCTATAAGGTGATATGTAGTTCTATACAGTGATATGTAGTTCAGGTGATATGTAGTTCTATACAGTGATATGTAGTTCTATACAGTGATATGTAGTTCTATACGGTGATATGTAGTTCTATAAGGTGATATGTAGTTCTATACAGTGATATGTAGTTCAGGTGATATGTAGTTCTATACAGTGATTTGTAGTTCTATACAGTGATATGTAGTTCTATACAGTGATATGTAGTTCTATACAGTGATATGTAGTTCTATACAGTGATATGTAGTTCTATAAGGTGATATGTAGTTCTATACAGTGATATGTAGTTCTATACAGTGATATGTAGTTCTATAATGTGATATGTAGTTCTATAAGGTGATATGTAGTTCTATACAGTGATATGTAGTTCTATAATGTGATATGTAGTTCTATACAGTGATTTGTAGTTCTATACAGTGATATGTAGTTCTATACAGTGATATGTAGTTCTATACAGTGATATGTAGTTCTATACAGTGATATGTAGTTCTATAATGTGATATGTAGTTCTATACAGTGATATGTAGTTCTATACAGTGATTTGTAGTTCTATACAGTGATATGTAGTTCTATACAGTGATATGTAGTTCTATACAGTGATATGTAGTTCTATAATGTGATATGTAGTTCTATACAGTGATATGTAGTTCTATACAGTGATTTGTAGTTCTATAAGGTGATATGTAGTTCTATACGGTGATATGTAGTTCTATACGGTGATTTGTAGTTCTATAAGGTGATATGTAGTTCTATACAGTGATATGTAGTTCTATACGGTGATTTGTAGTTCTATAAGGTGATATGTAGTTCTATACGGTGATTTGTAGTTCTATAAGGTGATATGTAGTTCTATACGGTGATTTGTAGTTCTATAAGGTGATATGTAGTTCTATAAGGTGATTTGTAGTTCTATACGGTGATTTGTAGTTCTATAAGGTGATATGTAGTTCTATACGGTGATTTGTAGTTCTATAAGGTGATATGTAGTTCTATAAGGTGATTTGTAGTTCTATACAGTGATTTGTAGTTCTATACGGTGATTTGTAGTTCTATAAGGTGATATGTAGTTCTATACGGTGATATGTAGTTCTATACGGTGATATGTAGTTCTATACGGTGATATGTAGTTCTATACAGTGATATGTAGTTCTATAAGGTGATTTGTAGTTCTATACGGTGATTTGTAGTTCTATACGGTGATTTGTAGTTCTATACGGTGATATGTAGTTCTATACGGTGATTTGTAGTTCTATACGGTGATATGTAGTTCTATACGGTGATTTGCAGTTCTATACGGTGATATGTAGTTCTATAAGGTGATTTGTAGTTCTATACGGTGATTTGTAGTTCTATACGGTGATATGTAGTTCTATACGGTGATTTGTAGTTCTATACGGTGCTATGTAGTTCTATACGGTGATTTGTAGTTCTATACGGTGATTTGTAGTTCTATAAGGTGATTTGTAGTTCTATACGGTGATATGTAGTTCTATACGGTGATTTGTAGTTCTATACGGTGATTTGTAGTTCTATAAGGTGACATGTAGTTCTATAAGGTGATATGTAGTTCTATAATGTGATATGTAGTTCTATACGGTGATTTGTAGTTCTATAAGGTGATTTGTATTTCTATAAGGTGATATGCAGTTCAATAAGGTGATTTGCCCCCTGCAGGACCTTTAAGATCATGGACGACAACAGCAGCCGCTCTCTGGACCTGAAGGAGTTCCTGAAGGGTCTGAAGGACTACGGAGTCCTGATGGACAAACAGGAAGCCACCGCGCTCTTCCTACAATTCGACCGAGACGGCAACGGGACCATCGACTTCGACGAGTTCCTGCTCACGCTCAGGGTGAGACACCGGTACCTTTAACGGGAATATAGATAACGGGATATAGATTACGGGATATAGATAACGGGAATATAGATAACGGGAACACCGGTGCAGAAGCAGGACTCAGGTCTGTGAGCTGAGGGTCCGGCCTGTGATGTCTCTGAGATATCTGAGGCTGTCCTCTCTGTTTAGCCCCAGATGTCCCGCGCCCGACAGGAAGTGGTTCTGCAGGCGTTCAGGAAGCTGGACCGGACAGGAGACGGCGTGGTGACCATCGAGGATCTGAGGGGCGTCTACAGCCCAAACATCATCCCAAGTTCCAGAACGGGGAGTGGAGCGAGGAGCAGGTCTTCAGGAGCTTCCTGGACAACTTCGACTCTCCCAACGACAAAGACGGGAAGGTGGGGATTCCTCATCATCTTTCATTCTCTAATAAAACCTATTTTTAGCAGTGTGCATCATTTGGTGAGTTTTCGTGGGGGATAAAATGCGATCAAAAGTGGAAAAATAAAAATCATAATTTTAGGAATCCTATGGATTTCAATGATGTTGCGACTGCAGTGAGGCGGGCGATCTGCAGTGAGGCGGGCGATCTGCAGTCAAGTTCTCCAGACTGTTCCCTGTTCTGTGTTTTCATGTTTTATATATATACACCAACCTCTGTGGCCTGTCTGGAGCCAGTTCAACAGACCCTAAGACACAGATCTTAACTAACCCTAACCCTGGATAGCTCTGAGTTATCTAAACTAACCCTGGATAGCTCTGAGTTATCTAATCTAACCCTGGATAGCTCTGAGTTACCTTAACTAACCCTGGATAGCTCTGAGTTATCTAAACTAACCCTGGATAGCTCTGAGTTATCTAAACTAACCCTGGATAGCTCTGAGTTATCTAAACTAACCCTGGATAGCTCTGAGTTATCTAAACTAACCCTGGATAGCTCTGAGTTATCTAATCTAACCCTGGATAGCTCTGAGTTACCTTAACTAACCCTGGATAGCTCTGAGTTATCTAATCTAACCCTGGATAGCTCTGAGTTATCTAAACTAACCCTGGATAGCTCTGAGTTATCTAATCTAACCCTGGATAGCACTGAGTTATCTAAACTAACCCTGGATAGCACTGAGTTATCTAAACTAACCCTGGATAGCTCTGAGTTATCTTAACTAACCCTGGATAGCACTGAGTTATCTTAACTAACCCTGGATAGCTCTGAGTTATCTTAACTAACCCTGGATAGCTCTGAGTTATCTAACTAACCCTGGATAGCTCTGAGTTATCTAAACTACCCTGGATAGCTCTGAGTTATCTAATCTAACCTGGATAGCTCTGAGTTATCTAAACTAACCCTGAATAGCACTGAGTTATCTAAACTAACCCTGGATAGCGACGGAGTTATCTAAAACTAACCCTGGATAGCTCTTGAGTTATCTAACTAACCCTGAACCCTGGATAGCATCTGAGTTATCTAAACTAAACCCTGGATAGCACTGAGTTATCTAAACTAACCCTGGATAGCACTGAGTTATCTAATCTAACCCTGGATAGCTCTGAGTTATCTTAACTAACCCTGGATGCTAGTGACCTTCCGGTTTCGCTATGAGTGGTCGCATTTTCGAGAGCTCCCGCTTTGGAGGTTATTCCTCACGATTTTTTACATATTTCATCCTCCTGACAATATGGATTATGGACTCCTACCTCAACTCATCAATGAGGCAACATCACTTAGAGAAGGAAGAGTAGTGAAAGCAGGGATAAATGAACCACAATGACTTTTACCTTCTCAACGGCTGGGAAAGGAAACACCTCGCTTTTGGAAGTGCAAGCATTCATGCATTATTAACTGCAAACCCGACGCGAAAGTACTTACCCCCGTCAGGCAAACTAGACCGAAGAAGTATGATCGTCTTGGTCTTATTGTTAGCGGGAGACATCCATCTGAATCCGGGCCCGGTGCAGGACAAGAAGCCATTCCTGCAGGCTCGAGGAGCTAGCATCACAACTAGCATCACAACTAGCATCTCTTCCGCTACAGCAACAACTACGCGACGACAACAGAGACCATGGAGACAGCGGAGACCGAGGAATCAACGGAGGACTTCGACATTCCCCCGGGGAGACGCCTCGGCAGGACAGACACGCATGAGGCAGTGACGAGAGGAAGAGAACCGATATCCGAGGGAACAAATATCCACCATGTTGTTAGCCACCCTGCTAGCATATCGACGGCTAAAGCTACAACGGAGCCTCCCTCCCCCCACCACCCCGACCGCTCCAAGCACCACGGCAGGCCGCAAGCCGTTGCTGTAACGGACAAAGACAATATCTTCAAGCTGACGACATTATGCATTAAACACAAAAATGGACTACATATTTTTCATCTGAACACTAACAGCCTGATACACAAACTGGCTGAACTCAGGCAACTGTTCATGAACGGTAAGGCAAGCATATTATGCTT